GAAAGGGACTCATTCAAAATCGGCTTAATCAGCAAAGTGCAACAAGTGTTACCAATTTCTCTTCGGTCTCTCGAATTCTTGAACCAATTTCATCCATTTGAAGCTGAAATATCTTACTGTTTGGCGGTTTAAGACTTTCTGATGCATCTTCGGCAACAGCTGTACAGGGATAAACAACAGTTCGTGAGTTACTCGAGATAACCGACAAGTTTTCCAATAAAATCACGCTAACTACTTAAAAGTACCTTGGCAGGTTTTCGAATTACTGTTAATCGAATCATTCAAAGGCGACTCTATCTGTCCATCCTCCACCTCTCCGCTATTTTCATTGTTCATTTTACGTCCTCAGCAATGCTGGGAGACTCCTCGAAGAGTGCTACCATAAATTTTCGTGTCACATTTTAGCGATTATCACCACCAAAATAAATTCATCCGACCGAAAACCATAACACAAAGAGGCTTCAAACACGTACAATTTTCTCCGCTTGCATCATGGTTAAAAAAAAAAAACGGGTAAGCCTGGGGAGAAGCACACTTCTCCCTAACTAGGGTCGGGTCGGGGAGCCTTTATTTTTCAGTTACCTTTTTTTCAGTTCATAACTTTATTTATTTTCATCTGTATGTTCCTTAATTCAAATGTCTGGTAACGAGTCCTTTTGAGAAGCTGAAAATTTTGGAATTTATCGTTATATAAATCAGTATAATTAAAAACTCTTTCCGACGAAAAATTTTTTTAAAACTTTTTAAAGCAACGAGCACATATCAATCGATAAAATGGATGACGACAGATTGTTTCGCAAATCGTAAAAGAAGAGAGTCAGAACAACTCACGGTCTGGGTAATGTGAGCATCGATCATGTGTACGACAAAAAATGGCCAAATGTTTGTAGCGTTTAAAAGAGTTTTTACGAGTCTGACTCACGTCACCAAACGGTACCCTTATACCCCTCTTCTACACAAACAAAGTAAAATAAAAACTAAAAGGAAAGAAAAAGGAGAAGATCAGTACACCCGACTTTCCGTACTCAGCGTCTAGTCTCGTAACCATATCCTACTAATTAGCTGTAACTAAAATGTAGGATCCTCACAACCGCCCAGCCGTGGAGGCCTGGGCTAAAAGCTTCCCAGTGTCTTGTAAAAGTGATGATGACACTTCAGTACTTTACCACAATCATCCTATGAAGGAAAGAAGAAAAAAAAGACACCAAAAAAAAACAAACAAACAAACAAATTTAAGTCGGCCATTTTAAAATCATTAAAGTATTCTCTACGTTTCGGCCAGATCTTTTTTTTTTTTTTTAACACATTTATATTTATTTCATTGTTAATCCGTTCAATAAATATCACGCACGGAGGCAGCATGACCGATCGTCAAAAATTTGGAGAACTGGTCTCACAGTATATATTTAAAGAGACGTCTAATTCAAACATAGATTTGCTCGACAAGCCACCCAGGCCCGCTTCACATAACCTTCCCTTCAGTACTGCAAAAGATAATAACCTTTTTTTTCATCATTTAGCGGCTAACAAGGTTATGAGGTTGATATTTTTAATCAAAGCTGCCGATGATTTTGCTCCCCCCACCCCCATACTGTAGGGCAGTGACACTGCATTCAGCGGGCACCCAACAACTAGCGAATGTTAACGAGAGGTTCAAGAACCGCCCGAACATCCCCCGAAATGGAAAAAAACCCCAAACAAACAAACAAACAAAAATAATTTATTTTCTAATTATTCCAATTTCAAAAATATTTTCATCAAGCATTGCAAGGTGGAATAAAAGTACATGTAACAAGACAGAACGAAGGGAGAATGGAAAAGACCACTATATTTTTCTTCCATTTTAAAGAGCGGTCGATGTCGACCTGGAACTATTCTACTTTTCGTGACTTTTCCGGAATGTGTTCGGAAAGCTGTGATCTCACGTGACTTGAAGGCGGAAGTTGGTCCGAGTATGTAAAGATACAGCGTAAGAAGTAACTGTCTTTTTCTGCACTTTACATTTGTCTATTAAAAGAGCTTTGAGATGGAAAGAGGATCTTCGAATGCACTCAATGCGAATTCTGTGAAAGATACAGGGAAAAGTGAAGACCTCAAGAGCGGAGCATCTTGTAGCGCTGAAGTAATCGTGGATCAGTGGATTGATGTTATGTTTATCTGTAGCGAGTGGGGCTCCTCGAAAGGTGGATTATCAACGTTTAACAGGGAAATTGCTGTGAATCTAGCGAAGTATTCGAAAGAAAGAATTAAGGTTCACTGCTTTGTTTGCCAAAGCACAGAAGAAGAACGAAAAGATGCGAGCAGCAATGGTGTCCATTTAATCACAGCACGGCGCCCTCCCGGATCAAGTGATTCACTTGAATGGATTCGAATTCCTCCACCAGAGCTTCGTAATCCTAACATCGTCGTTGGCCACGGTAGGAAGTTTGGTGGTGCGGCTTATTCCATTCAGCAAATAACAGGTTGTAAGTGGATACACTTTGTTCATGTGTATTGCGAGGATCTTGGAAAATTCAAGCTGGAATGCAATGTTACGGCTGATGCAATTGCAGATAACGAAGAGAAGAACAAACGAGAACTGGAGCTGTGCAAAGCATCTAACTTAGTCGTTGCAGTAGGCTCCCTACTACAAAGAAAATATCAAAGAAGTTTGCCAGATTTTAAAGTAGAAGTCATTACTCCAGGGATTTTCGAAAAGTTTGTCAATCCAACCACAAGGCCGCGTGAATGGATGAAATTTGAATCATCAGGAGAAGACGAGTTTCGTATCTTCATGTTCGGTCGGGGAAGCTTTGAGGACTTTGAACTCAAAGGATACGATGTAATCGGTAAGGCTGTGGCCTCATTGGAAAGAAGATTCGAGCTCACTTTTGTTGGTGCACCACAAGATCAACAACGGAAGATCGAAAAATGGTTCCTGGAGGAAACGAAAATAACACGGAATCAACTAACCATCAAAGGCTTTTGTAATTACAAAGAAACGAGAGAGATATTTCGTCAAGCGGATGCAGTTGTGATGCCATCCCGCACCGAGGGCTTCGGTCTGGTTGCCCTGGAGGCCATATCGGCTGGTGTGCCTTTGCTGGTCTCCAGGGAATGTGGGATAGCCAAAGCCCTCCAAACTGTGGATGGTGGGATGGCTGTGGTCATCCCCTCAGCTTCACCAGAGGAATGGGCAAACAAAATCCAAGAGCTATCACAACAATCACCAGATGAGAGATATGCCTCCGCTGTGCGTCTGAGAGAGAATTATGGGAAGAGGTACCACTGGAAGGAAGAAAGTGAAAAGTTTATGAAGATGATTCTGCAGTTGGCTCCCAATCCCTCTCCTAAGGAGACTGTAATCACAGGTTTGCTTTTGTAATGATAACTGTAATGTCTAAGTCAATG